GCCATGTGGGTGCTGGGAATCGAACCCAGGTCCTCTGCAAGAGCAGTCAGTGCTCTTAACTGCTGAGCCATCTCTCCAGCCCCTATTTTTAAAGTCTGTGTGTGTGTGTGTGTGTGTGTGTGTGTGTGTGTGTACATCAGTATGTAGGAGTGTGGGCATGTGTGTCACAGCATGTGTGTGGAGGTCAGAGACAACCTCAGGTATTGGTCTTGACTTCTGCCTTGTTTGATGTGGGGCCTCTTTGTCTTCACTGCAGCATACACCAGGCTAGTTGACCTGTGAGCCCAGGGACTCTCCCGTCATAGCCTCCTGTCTCACCATAGGAATTCTGGGATTTTACAGACCATGCTACTGTACCTGGTTTTATGTGGATTTTGGAGACTTGAATTCAGGGTCCTCACACTTACATGGCAAGTGCTTACCCACTGAGGGGTCTCCCCAGCCCTCCATCTCCTTTCTGATCTTGGTTAGTCTGCTGCCCAGCTCCTCCTCAGAGCTTTCCTCCTGGGTCACCATTGCTTCGTGTTAAATCCAGTAGGCAGTGCTGATCCTCTGGTAATCAGCAACATCTGACACTACTAAGCACTCTTTCATACTCTCTTCACTGGATTTCTAGAACATTGAATTCTTTCTGGAGCTTCCTCTGGCTCACTGTCACACCTCTTCGGCCCCACTCATGGTCCCTCCACGGGAACTGTGGAACCCCAACCTCTAAACGTTGGAGTAGACATTGGACTTAGCCTGGGAGCCCTGTCCTCTTTTACCATTGCTCCCCTCCCTGAGTGATCTCCTTGGGGAGGTTTTGAATGCTACTGGTGTTCCCACCACCCCCATTTTATGTCTTGGACATCTCTGAATCCCAGACCCAGCTCCGCTGAGATGTCTCATCCGCACCTCTCACCCAGACTTCAGTTCCTCAGGCACTGTGTGCCTCCTCACAACATTCTCATCCTGCAAAATGCCAGTTGTCCTCCGGTCACTGGGACCAGATACTTACATTATCACCTAGATCGGATCCACCAGCAGATCTTGCTTCAAACATCCGCAGCCTCTGGCTCTCCTGTGCCAACATCTCCTGTCTCTTGGCTGTGGTACTACTGTGGGTCTCTGCATTTATCGTGTCCCCAGCCTGGCAGCAGCCAGAGCAATCCCATTTAACCACTGACAGATCAGCCCTCTGCTCAGCACCCTGCTGACTTGGGGACTAGATGAGAGAGCAGTCTTCTTAGAGAAACCTCCATGACAGAAGATGGGGAAAGCGTGGGGGAACACCTGGGACAGCCATCAGACTAGGCGCAGAACTGATCTCCAGTCACACGGGACTGTCAGGAGTGCTTCAAGTCAGTGGTCTCTGAGCAAAAGAGCTTGTAAAGCCCAGTACCTGGGGTCCTTAATCCCTCTGTTCCCATTCCTGCAGGTGGAGGTGGTGCAGCAATTCTTAAGACCACCAAAGTCCTTTGGAAGTTCCCATCCCAGAGTCAAAATCAGAGCCCTGTCCATAACCCCCAAGTCATCACTGTCCACTCCAGGCATGCCCACTGCAGGGCTTCCGTCAGGCTAGCCCCCTGCCCAAGACATCCTTCCTGCGCCTGCCCCGCACCAGCTCTCCTCAGACAACGCTTTCCAGTGTGGCTTTTTTAGACCTCTAGGTTTTAAAATGACAGCCTTCCCCTGCCCTTTTCTGTGTCAACCCATAGTCTTCATGGCCATCTGAGTATCATCTCCCTTGAGCCTCATCATCATCCCACGTAAGCTCAGTGTCTGCCCTGAAGTCTGCTCTTGATTTCTAGGGAATCTTGGGTTGCATGAGGTGGGCTGCAAGGCAGAGGGGATGCCTATAGCAAATGGGGAGGTGGAGTGTCAGCAACATTTAGACACTTCCCCTAAGCTCCGCTCCCTACCTCCCTCTGGCCCAGTGCCCTCATTCTTCATCTCAGCCTCTTGTTCCTCACCATAGTCTTTGCTGAAGTGACCTTTCTTTTTTTAAAAAAAATATTTTATTTATTATTTTTATTTTATGTGTATGAGTGTATTGCCTGCATGTATGTGAGTGTACCCGTGTCATGCAATGCTGCGGAGGTCAGAAGAGGGCTTCAGATTCCCCTGGAACTGGAATTAAGGACGGTTCATAGCCTCCATGTGGGTGCTGGGAATCGAACCTGGGTCCTCTGCAAGAGCAGTCGGTGCTCTTAACTCTCCAGCCCCTGAAGCGACCTTTCTAACAAACAACTCAGATGTAGCACTGGAAAACCTTCCCTAGACCAGTCTCCACACTCCCGTCAAAGCTGTAGGTTGGTCACTTCAAAGGTGTCACGCCCTGACCTAGAGCTGGGGTGTTCTTTCTCTACTGAGTACTGCTCTTTTCCAAACTGTACTTCCAGACCTAGCCCATGGTCCTAATGCCCAGGACCCTCAGATAAGGTTCAGGCCCAAGACAGCTGGTTTTGCACTGCCCTAAGCCAATTTGGAGACTGGCCTTGACTCTTCCACCAGACTAATGAGTGTTTGTTTTGGCATCATTGCCAACTGGGCAGCGGGAGGCAAAAGAGCCTGTAAGATCTGAGTCAGACAAGTGACCACTGCAGAGCAGAGCCAGCAGAGCCCAACCTGGACACAACTTGGCAGAGCCCAACCCAGCCCAGTGTATCCTACAAGGCAGCCTTGAGGGAGAGACAATTTACCCCCTACCCCATCACCAAGGAAGGCTGGGAGGCCAGAGCTGGTTCGGAGACTCAGCAGTATGCTCCTGACAAGGCTCTGCCCTGTGTTTCACAGTCTGGACAGCAGGTCAGGACTGTCAGAGGCTCCACTCTGCAGCTGCTAAGTGGTGGCCACCCCTGCCCTGCCTGCAGGCCTGCCCAGTCACAGGCCCGAAGGGCCCAGGGTAGGGTGCCATTCTTTCTCTGGCTCTGATAGCCCCAGGCTGATCTGGGCTTACACCTGCTAGGCAGCCCCTATGAGTGGGGCATAAGGAAGAGGAAACCACTTGTGGTTGCTGAGATGTGACAAGCTGGCTGTTACCCTGACTTCTCTCTCTGACCTGAACCATCTGGCTCAGAGGGGCCATCCAAATGACAGTTCTCTGAGGGGTCCAGGCCTGGGTGGACAGGATGCGGGGTCATAGTGTGGCTGAGGAACATGTTCCATCCTGTGGGCAAGGAGAAGGCCAGTGCTCTGAGCAGGCACAAAGATCTGCACAGATCAGAACGGACCTTAGAAGCTTCCTTTCCTTTGAAACAGGAGTCCTTTGAAAGGCCGCAGGTTGGAAACTCCTCTCCCATGACCCACCCTGTTTCTGGCTCAGAGATTCCATCAACAGTCCCTAGGACAGCCTCACTACCCCTGTGTCTGATGCCCTTGAAGTTAGGGTCTCCCAGTGCCAAATGGTTTATTACACAGGTTTTCATGCATGGCTGCCTCTGGACGCCTCCCTCCCTCCTCCCTTCTACCTCCCCACCCTCCTCCTGCCTCTGAGCACCACCTGTCTCTCCAGCCTGCCTCAGCAACCCCTGCTTGACTGTTGCCAGGGAAACCGCCTCCTTGGCAACAAGCCGGCATCCATATGACAAGTACACTGGGGAAGGGAAGGCTTCTGCCTCTTGCTTAGGCTGTTGTGGGCCCTGATCTGGAGCCAGGCTGGGTTCGAGGATGGGTCTTAGATGGGGTTGTAGAGGAAGGGAAGTGCTGTGCCTTCCCTGGCGATAACTGAAGACCTACTATTTGCCAAATTTTATGCCAGGCCCTTTATGTACAATAGCACATTTACTCTTATGTTGAGTCTTCAAGATAGATATGATTATTCCCATCTTGTAGATGGGCAAGCTGAGGCACAGAGATGCAAATGGGTTGGCTGAGGCAGCAGGTGTCAGAACCAAGAGTTGAACCTAGTCTTGTCTGTCTTCAAAACCTTCTTCTTGCCGAGCATGGTGGCACATGCCTTTAGTCCCAGCACTCGGGTGGCAGAGGCAGGCGGATCTCTGTGAGTTCAAGGCCAGCCTGGTCTACATGGTGAGTTCCAGGCCAGTTGGGACTACAGGGAAACACTGTCTCAAAAAGACCAAAAAAACAACCCCCCCCCCAAAAAAAAACCCAAAACAAATCTTCCCATCTTGAAATTTGTAGTCAGGCCTTTAAAGCCCTACAAGTAAACTGGCCCTACATATGTGCAACGAGGGCTCTGTTCCCTCGCCAGGCCATATTTGGTACCACTTTCATTGTGCTAAGCCCAGCTATAGGTTCAAGAGCTCATAGGGAAAGTAGGCAAGATCCCTGCCCCCAAGGGGTCCCCAGTCTACTGGAGGCTGTGGGAGCATGCCTTGGATGTGACCCATGACAGGGAGCCTCCCAGCCCCTGGAAGAGGCTCTGGCCTCCCGGGGCTGGGGTCAGAGGAGACAGTAGGAGGAGGAATTTCCAAAAGGGAGCAATTTGGGGAATATCTGGAGCCTAGATGGTCAGAGAAAGGTAACTGAGGGGATGGAAGGGAAACAAATAACAGATTGGAGGAGAGAAGGGTACACTGGATGCTGGAGTTGGACTCTGGAATCCTCCAGCAGGGCATAGGCCTGATGGGTGAGGAGTGAAACCCCACTGGGTTCCTTGGTTGTCTATAAGCCCAGGATGGGTTGGGGATTAAAGGAGACCTAGCAGGTATGCATGGGTGGGTGGGATTCCAGCAGGGGCAGGGTCTTTGAATCAGGGAGTATGGGCAGATGCCAGCAGAGGCTCTGGGTGTCTTGCAGGGGGCTGCCAGCTGCCAGTGCATCAAGAGCCTAAGAATAGGCAGGAACAGTAGGAGAGAGAGCTTACTCACACCAGCCAGGTAGAAGTCTGGACAGAGCCCAGTGATTGGCTGGTGGTCCTTGAGGGAGGCGTTGGCAGAGAGGAGTTAGCCCTGTGCAATCAGGGGAGGGAATCAGGGGCCTCCAAGTGGCAGATGCAAAGGTGTGGCTATGTGACCATTCAAGGTATGGTGCTAGCCCAGGGTTCTGCCCTCCCCCAGGGATTCTGCCCTCCCCAGTGGATTCTGTCCTCCCCGGGCCTCCCACAGCAGGATAAGGTTAGTAACATGCAGGGAGGTTTACTGCAGGGGCCTGGGGGCTGCCCTTCTATACATCTGCCTTTGACCTTGGAGTTCTCTCTCCTGCAGGCCCTGCAGCACCGAGAGACAGAGGTCTATGCCTGCATTGAGAGTGAGGCTGGCAGCCCAGCCTCAAGCCAGGACCCTCCCTCCAAGGTAAGCCCCCAGCCTCTAGCCAGGACCCTCCTCCAAGGTAATCTGTCAGTTTCTAGCCTGGACCCTCCCTCCACCGTAAGCTCCCAGCCTTAAGCTAGGACCCTCCCTCCACTGTAAGCCCCCAGCCTCTAGCCAGGACCCTCCTCCAAGGTTAAACCCCAAGCCTCAAGCTAGAACCCTCTCTCCATGGTAAGCCCCCGGTTCAAGCTAGGACCCTCCCTGCAAGGTAAGCCCCCAGCCTCAAGCTAGGATCCTCCCTCTAAGGTAAGCCCCGGACTGGGGACATGGAGTCTGGCTCCATTTCTTTCTATCCTCTCCGTATCTACGCTGTGGGAATTTAATAGACCACAGTATTGAGCCACCTGCGGTTGAACGCAGCCTCTCCTTGGCAGCTGGCCTAGTGATAATGAGGACTGGTGGGATTGAACTCCGGTTGCATCCCTCATCAACTCTGCAGCCTTAGCCAAGGTACCTAATCTCTCTGTGCTTGAGTCTTCTGGTCTGTTGTAACAAGGAACCAAGGAAGTCCCTAGATTTGCTGTGTGGACAGATCACTCTGCTGAGAGGGCTGCCCAGGACCAAGTGGGCACTCACACGGGGTGGTGATTATAACTACCACTGGTAGCCTCTGTGCAGTACCTACACTAGCCGGTCAGTTGGGGATGTGAGGCTTCCACATGGCCCCAGATAGGTGCTGGCTAAAGTTTGAGTTAGATGTGTAGGTACCAATTCTGGCTGGCTTGCTTCAGACTGTTATGACAGGGCCTCAGGCTGATTACTTAATCACACTCTCTCTCTTAAACCTCAGTTTGCTCATCTGTAAAGTGGATGAGTAATGTTTTCCTGAACCACCAGCTGCACAGGAGTTCAAAAGAATAACATGTGCACCTGTATTGCATTGTAATGAGGATTGTAATGAGCTCAAGACCAGATTGAGCTACCTGAATGTGTGGGTGTGGGAGCCCTGCAAGGTGGGTGGTCTGTGGGCATCTTGGAGAAGCCTCAATAGTACAGGGACAGGTACTCTACCTCCCTCAGCCCGGGGTGGAACTGTTGAACCTCCTGGTTTCAAAACTCTGGATTAGGCCTTAACTAGAAGCAGGGCCTTCTGAGGCCCTGGACCTCAGAAGGATATGGGGCTATCTCAGGCAGTGTCTCCCCAGTGCCAGGCTCTGGGGTGCTCTACAAGAAAGCAAGGTGCATCCCTGCCCTCTAGGGGGGCTCCTCTGCAGGAATAGCCCCCTGACCCCAAGGACATGCAGAGTGATTTGTTTCGCTGTCTGAGGGCCAGGCTCTGTGGAGGGGATCAGACAAGTCTAGGATCAGGAAGGGCTCCCTGGGACTCTAAGGTGCACTCTGCAGGGTGAGTGAGTGTGTGGACGTGGGACATTCCAGACCAAAGGAAGAGTGTGAGAAGCCTGAAGCAGGCTGGGAGGGCTTGCAACCCAGAGGGTAGAGGGCAAGGGTAAAGTGGCACAGCAGGAAGAGAGACTGGCCAGATGGGCTTGGGGACAGAGGACAGGCCTCCTGTCAAAGCCACACAGGAAGCAATCTGTCAACTTCCAAATAAAATTAAACTGGTACAAGTTCATAGACAGGCATTGTGGCTCATGCCTCTAATTCAGCACTCAGGAGGCCGAGACAGGAGGACTGTAATGAGTTCAAGACCAGCCTGAGCTACAGAATGAGATCCTGTCTCAACAAACAAAAGTTGACCCAAGCTCATTCTTTCCTAATCTTTCTCTTCCCTCTCTCTTTCTCCTCTCCCCCCTCGCTCTTTCTCTCTCAGGAGAAACTTCCACACAAACCCAGGTTTGAGGATGACAGCGAATTTAACCTGGTCTATGAAAATCTCTAGGATGAATTCTAGGACGAAGGCCCTGAGTCTTGTCCTGGATCAGAGACCCAGCACCACCTGTCTTGCCAAGGACCTGATTCGGACCAAGACAAGGGTCCTCAGGACATGCTGTCACTTCACCCTCACATTCAAGGCCTTCCCTGCCCTGGCCTGGCCGGCTCTTACATGCTGCACCCCAGCCTGAGTATTTCATGTCTCTGGACTTCTGCTCCAGCTCTTCCCTCTGCCATTCCTTCCCTGGCCCTGTGGGCGAAGTGCTCCAGGACATGCTTGGATGCCACCCTTTGCCCTCTTCAGTCCTTGTCTGCTCCCCTGCAGAGCCTTGTGTGTGGCTCCCTTAACACAAGCTACATCTTGGTCCACAGGGAGACTGAGTCCCCAAGAAGATGGCAGGACCACTACCAGTGCTGTGCCCAGCCAGTGAGCCACTCTACCTTCTCAGCTAGTTCAAAGGCACAGGGTGGCCACATGCTGGCTGGGAGGGGAGAAGAACATGGCCCAGGAGGAATGAGGGATGGGCACGAATGAAGAACTGCACAGAAGCCAGAGAGCCAGACATGGAGGCTAAAGATGTAGCAAGTGTTGGTGGTCAGACCAGGACCTGGAGCAGGGAGGGTCCGTACCTGCTGGTGAAAAGGGGGAGACTCTAGCTTGTTTGGGGGTAGAGGTGGACACTGCCTGTCATCCTCAGCTTCCAGGCCTCAGTTGCTTATCCTTTCACCCCAAGACCCAGTCCCCCAAAGTCTCCTCCGTTTGGCCTGTCCTGGCCTCCTCCTCTGTGGCTTCATCTGGTCCCCCTGTCTCTGTTTGCCTTTGACCCACCCTGTGGATGGAGGCTAGCTGGGCCCACACCCATCTTAACGTTCTCCATGCCATGTCTTTCCCGAGGTAGTTCAGCTGTGTGGGCTTGTGACTGGGCCTCCCTGGGTAGGTAGATGGGTCTCTGTGCTGCAGAAGCTAAGGCCAGGGTGGGCAGTGGCTCACTCAAGGGACCCCTCATTCCACCCTCCAGACAGCCCTACAATGGAGAAACCATCTCCTTGGAAGACAGGTTTCATCAAGGTTACATCGCTCTCTGCTCCAGCCCTCCCTCCTTCCCGTTTGCTGCTCCCTTGGCTTCCCCACTGTCTGTTCATCTGTGTGATACACAGGGCAATCCACCTACCCCACTTCCTAGGCTGCTTCAGGAGTTCCAGGGACTTTCTCATACCCAAAGCGCAATGGGCCCAGGGGAGGTGGAGGACCCAATGTGCAGACCCCAGCCTGGCCCTGGGCAGCACTGGACCCTCACCCCTCAGGCAGCAGCCCCTTTTGTTTGGCAGGTGAGACTCACAGAAAAGCTGAGGAGGAAGGTAGGCAGACACTGACCTCCAGGAGCCCCTGTGTCCTGGAATAGTGGGCCCAGTGGACAGACAGCGGCCTCCACACTTGGCTCTGGGCCTTATTTTGTGAACACCCAACAAGCAGGGTTCCTAGTGGGCCAGAGCTCCCGCTGGTTTAATGAACTCCAGGCCTGTTGAGGAAGGAAGCTGCCTGGTACAGAGCTGCTTCCAGGCTCCTAACTCCAGCAGCCTGAGGGGCAGGTCTGGAGCCTGCTGATGCCTCCCCCTCAGCCTGAGCCCTCTGTTCATAGTCTCTGAACTCACTGACTGGACTCAGTATTTCTAGCCCTTTCCAGGGGAATGAAGGGTACCTAGTGGAATTTCACCTGTGCCCTGGCTCAAGACCTAGCACATCTGCTTCCCAGCAACCACCTGCCTATACTACCTGTCCTTACAAAGCAGCTGTGGGTCCTGCTAAAACCTACTTTGTCTTGTCCCTCTTTCACACAAAACCATGATTTCTGTTTACTTGGAATAAAATCCCAGAACCTTCCTGTAACTTATGAGAACCGACCTATCATGGACACAGACACTGCCGGGCTGGTAGCTGAGTCTGGTTGGGGCCATTGTGGTGGTGGTGACAGTGGGTACCAAGCGCTTTGGAGATCAAGAAGAGAGTCAGGGAAGGGGAAGAGGAGGAGGAAAAGAGGAGGATGAGGATGAAGAGCCAGCGAGGAAGAGGAGGAGGATACAAGGTGAGGGTGGGACCTTAAGAGGGGTTTCAAACTTAGGGAGGGTGGGAAAGAATATTTTGGGTTTCCCAGTAACAGTGAAGAAGGCTGAGCACCCAGTCCCCTGCCCCAGGCCTGTGAGTCTATGGAACGGAGCTGGTGCAAAGATGGGGAGTGCAGGTGACAGGAAAGAAGGAAGACAGGACAAAGGGCCCCTGATTGTGAGCCCTTGGGGTAGAGGAGAGACAGGCAGGGTGGCCTCAGGACCTCCCTTAGGTTCCAGCAGCAACTCAGACTTGAGTAAGTCCCTGCCTGCCTGCCTGAGCTTGGGTTTCCAGCCACAATCCAGACCACTCAGGGTGTTATAAGTGAGAATGGATGAGGAAGTCCCTGGGTCCAGTAGGTTTCCTTGAGATTCATCCTTCAGAGATGAAAGCTGCTAGGGTATTGGGAGGGGTCTGCAAGGAGAGGGGCCAGGCTTCCTTAGGAAAAAAAAAAAAGAAGCACCCTGCTCAGGAGGCAGGCTGGGGCTTCCCCAGCTGGGAGGGTGAAGGTAAGTAGTGCAGGAGGCAGATGTTTCTGGGTCTAGCAGGTTGTCCTCCCAGAAGGGGCGGAGCTAGGAGGGTACTCAAGGAAGGATGGCTGAGTGGAGAAGGTAAAGGGGAGCTTGGACCTTCAAGGAAGGGCTGGTATGACTGTCTCAAGGGTAGATCTCGTCTCAGGGCTCTGGCCCAGGGCCCCACACAAAGGGGCAGCTGATGGTTCAGGGTCTTCCTCCCACCTGCCCTGTCCCTGTCTGGAGAAATTTCCCACCCACTCTCCTGGCATCAGCTGTGGTCCTTTGGAGGTCATACCACCTGCCAGTTTCTTTGGAGCTTCAGGGCATCAGAAACATTTCAACAACTCTGAACCCCTCAGGCTCCCCACCTTTAAGTCTCTCCCAGGAGTGGTAAATGGCCAGCCCCCTCCCTTGACTCCAGCTCCTCCCAGTCTTCTGTGAGAAAATTACCCCTGGAAACCAAACCCAGGAACTGGGTGCGGTAGCTGTGCCCCCACCCCCGGCAAAAATTCCCAGAGGAGTCTGTGCAGCAGTTTCCATGGGAACATGTGCCTGTTATCACTGATTCTCAGTGGGGCTGGAGTGCTTCTCACAGCCAGTATGGGAGGACTTTAGTGGGTGGCCTCAGCGAGGGGCATCTGGAGTTCCTCCTCCATCAGCACTCACTAACCTGAAATCGAGTTACAGGCAAAACCTGCTTTTTTTCCCCCCATCTAATTTAAAGGCCACGTTCCAGTCTAAGGACACCTCTGGGACTTCAGGGATGGATTTTCATGTAATTCAATAGTTTTCTTGGCTGACAGCTCTTCCAGGAGAGGTGGGCTGTTGCCTCTGCCCAGCCAGGCTGAGTGGTGTCAATTTGTCCCTCCTGAATGCTGGGGATGTCATTCACCCACCTGAATGGCTTCTCCAGTCCTGAATCTAGACGCCAGCATCGGCGGCCTTGGCACGAGGCTCTGTGATGTTCTGTTGGCTGCTTCTTGCGTTTTATAATTATGGCCTCCAAGCCTCGGCCGAGCGCTGGTTAGGCGTTGCGTTCTGCACTTGGCGTTGAGTGTTTGCTGTGAGTGTAAGCAGGTGGCAGAGGCATGGACTGTGGAAAAACGTTTAAACGACATCAAGGTGAAATTCACTCTGATGAGCCCGCCACCTTCCCCAAAGGTCACCCACTGGGCTAGCGGAAAGTCCTTCCTTCCTTGCTGTTTTCATTGCCTCTATATACATACGTGTGCACAGATGAAGTGCAGGGTGTCTGTGGGAGGGTTCTGAGGAGTGCTAAGTGGAGTCATTCCGTAGGTGGTGTTTGCATTGGCTTTGCTCTCGAAGCCCCACGTGGGTATCTGCCTGAGCCAGCGTGTCGGAGCTGCCAGACTCTAATTACGGCAGAGGACTCGCAGGACGGATGGGTCCTAATCTAATCAGGCCCCTATCAATGGCCTCTTCAGCTGTTTACGATTTTTCAACCTCCAGAAGGTACCACAGGGAACATCCTCAAATACACTGGCTACACCTGCCGAACTTTCTCTGTGGGAAATAAGAAATTCCTGGGGCTCAGAAAATGAATGTATACCATTTCAACAGACACTGTCAGACATGGATGTTGTGTTGGGGTCCCATCTTTGGACTTTTAATCTATAATATCTCATTTAATCCTGAAAACAGTCCTGCAAAGCAGCGGGACAGGGAGAAGGAGAGGCTGATCTCCCCAATTTGTCAAAGCAGAAACTACTGTTCAGGCAGCTGTTTGGATAAAGGTCACGCAGCCCAGAAGAGAACAACCCTGGGCTGGCTGCAAATGTGTGTAGTCCTCCTGCCTCCATGGGTCAGGCCAAGGGGTGATGTGATGGTGGAACAGAAAGCACCTTCAAAGGACTTGGTGCTGGCAAAGCCCACTGAAGGTCAAAATTCCTGAAGAGATACCTGGCATCCTCCTTCTGCTCATTCCAGAATCTCTACATGTGGGGTGCGTGCGTGTGTGTGTGTGTGTGTGTGTGTGTGTGTGTGTGTGATGTATCTGTCTGTGTGGTATATGTGGTATGTGTGTATGGTGTGGTATGTGTGGTGTATGGTATATGGTGTATGGTATGTATGGCATGTGAGTGGTGTGTGTGTATGTGTGATGCGTATATGTGTGGGTTGTATGTGTGTGATGTGTATATGTGTGTGGTGTGTGTGTGGTATATATGGTGTGTGTGCAGTGTATGGGGTGGTGTGCAGTGTGTGTGGTATGTGGTGTATGGTATGTGTGGTGTGGTGTGTGTGTGGTGTGTGTGGTATGTGAGGTGTGTGTGGTATGTGTGTGATGTGCAGTGTATGGTGTGTGTGGTGTGTGTATGTGTGCCTGTGCATAGGTAGGTAGGTGGTAGGGGACCCTCCTGCCTCCTGGTTGTCTACAGCCTTTGGGAAATAGAGGCAGATCCATGTAGGTCTTAGAGTTACATTTGCCTAGCAGCCTGTAGCTGGACATGGGGTCGCAGGGTCCCCTAGACGTTCCCAGGCACAGCATCCCTGGAAGCATGAACCATCTCTCAGGAGCTTTATAATCCAGGATAATGCTGCTGTAATTGGCATTGCTCTGCCTTTACAGCCCTCTCATTGCCTGAAAACTTACTTTGCAAGTGGCTATATGTGGAGTGGGTTTTATTTTACCACTCTATGGGCCTTCAGGGGCCCCCCATTCTTTTTTTTTCCTTTCTGACCTGCCCCATCTCTAGGCTTTATGGGCCAGATTCAGGCTAACCTCCTGGCCTTGGCTGAGAACACAGCCACACCACTGTGGGCCTGGGCTGATTTGGAGATTGCTTTTCTCCTGGAGTTCCTGCTCTTTCTTCCTTCTAGCCCTTTCCTGATTCCACACCAAACAGATCTTTCTACAGCTCAGATATGACCATGTGAAGCCCCTCTCAAAACCTGCAGATACCACTCCGTGGCCAAATTATTGCAGCAAAGGGGTCAAATTCATTCAATGAATGAGACTACTCTTTTCAACAAAAGGTGCTGGGGGATCTCGGCATTAGCATGCCTCAAGATGACTTTGGACCCTAACCTCATGCCATATGTGTGAGTGGTGTGTGTGTGTGTGTGTGTGTGTGTGATGTGTATATGTGTGTGGTGTGTGTATCATACAACCTCATGATAATCTCTTTCTACCTCTTCATTCTTTCAGCCACACTGGACCAGCTCTGACTATGTGCCAGGCCCTGTGCTGAGACTATCTAAAATAGATAGTCCTTTGTGAGGAAAGTAGCTCAGCTAGTAGAGTGCTTGCTTAGCATTTACAAAGCCCTTGGTTTGATCCCCAACAGTATGGTGACACATGCCTGTGATCCCAACACTCAGAAAGTAGAGGTGGGGCAATTAGAAGTGCCAAGTCAGGGTCAGGGAGATGGTTCAGCAGGTAAAGATGCTTGCTGCCAAGCCTGATAACCTGAATTTAATCCCCAGGATCCACACTATAGAAGGAGAGGACCAACTCTCAGAAGTTGTTCTCTGACCTCCATATGCACGCTGTGGCATGCTCTCAGAAGTACATACACACGCATACATATTTACATGCGTACAGGTAAATACACCTGTGTTGTACAATGCCCAAGGAGGACAGAAGAGGCTGTCAGATCCCCTGGAACTGGAGTTAGACAGTTGTTAGCTCCCATGTGGGTATTGGGATTTGAACCTGGGTCTTTTGCAAGAACAACCAGTTTTCTTAACTGCTGAGCCATCTCTCCAGCCCTATTTTTTTTAATGTAAAAAGAAATCCAAACTTTACTACATAGTGAGTTCAAGGCTTACCTAGCCACATGAGACCCTGTATCAAAATTAATATTATTAATAATAATAATAATAAATGGTCTTGTCCTGTGACCAGCTCTCACTGGCCTATAATCACTTCAAGCTCCATCCACGGCTGCTGTTCAAAGATGTCAATTCCCCCATCTGAGTGCCCTCCATTCTCTGTCCCAAGTCCCTTTACCCCGTCTTGCTTGAAGAGGTAACCAGCCTCTCAAATGTCCCGTTCTCTGTGCAGCTTCCCTAAGCCCCTCTCCCCTAGCAGGCTTACTTGTCCCTTCATCACCTCATATTAAATCAGTTCGCACACATTCATCTCCCCCAGGAGGCCCTGGGCTTCCCAGCATGGAGAACACCTTATTTGTCTCTCTTTGTCTGCTCCTGACTCACACACAGGGCTCAAGAGTCATTTGTTTAAAGAATAAATGAATCTCTTCCTTTGCTGGCAGCTCAGTGCCTGTTCTTGCTGAAA